AGTGAGAGAAGATGCTATTTTGAATGAGTGGTAAGAGTAAAAATGTTGGAAGATGAGGCAAGCCAATAGGACCTCATATTGAACTGATATGAGAGGTGAGGAAAAGAGAAGGCAAGACTACTCATATAAACACACAGGCACATGCATTCTCTCTCTCTCACACACACACACACACACACACACACACACACACAGATACATACAGACATACACAGATACATTTATATATGATCCCTGCAAGTGCGGTGGTTTAGCACTCAGCTACTGAAACGTCGGTGGTTGAAATCCACCAGTTGCTCTGCAGCAGAAAGATGTGGCAGTCTGCTTCTGTAAATGTTTACAGCCTTGGAAACCCTATAGGGCAGTTCTACTCTGTCCTATAGGGTGGCTATGAGTTGGAATCGACTCAACAGCAATGGGTTTTGGTATAGGAGATATCAATATTCATTATGCAGTTTCCTTTATTGAAGAATTGGTAGAGTAAGGTGCTTTGGTGGAAGAATTACTGGGGCAAGGAAATAAAGGCACCTAGAGGCTATGTGGTGCATGTGGTTCAGAGATTTCTTTTCCTGAGATGACAGTGATCTTGTGATAAGCTAGGCACAGAAAAGCTTTGGCGAGGGTGAACACTCTTTAGCAAAGTCGGTCCTGAGGGGCAAGAAGATTATTTGATGAGAGTGTCCAGTGGACCAGGTCAGGGAGGGGACAACGGAGGCCAGGAAGGGGAACTGAGGGAATCTGAATAAATTATGACCTTCGGTTAATGATGATCTATCAATATCAGTTCATTAGTTATAACAAATGCACCATATTAATGTGCGATGTTAACAGTAGGTGAAACTGGGTGTGGGCCATGTGGGAATGCTGTACTATCTTCACAATTTTTTTTTTGTAAATCTAAAACTGTCCTAAAATAAAAAAGTTTTTTTAAATAAAAAAAGAAAATATACGCAGAACTGAGCCAATCTGATTTTGGCTCGTGGAAGGAGCTCGAGTAATAAGGATTTACATTGCTGCCTGACTGACTTCCACAAGGAGGGAGCAAGATTAGGATGTGCTATGAACCTGAAACCAGGAGAGCCTTCTAAGATACTTGTTTTGTTAACACCTGCCACCTCTTTAGAGATTACAAAGCAGGAGCATTATTAGGGATCACGAAGAAAAGTACAGGAGATGTCATCCTTCCGAGACTCTTCTCATGCTATGCAGCAACCTTTAGATGAGCTGTTGGTGGGACAATATTACTGAAGAAGAAGAAACAAGGGGATGATCTACAATTAGTGAGCATAGCCACAAGCCCTGTCCAGTTTGATCCTTACCTGCCCTGTTCCAAAAGGACAATATCCTTCCACCCCAGCTTGGAGAGGTGATAGGCCACGGAGGTGCCCATGATCCCACCGCCACAGATGACTACCTGCGCCTGGGCAGGCAGGGCAATAGAATGGGCCTCGGCAGCTGATGTGCTGCTTCTTGCTGAGGGCCAGTTCTGCCATCCTGGGCTGACTCTTTGCTGTCGGACAATTGACAGCAGCCGGTAAAACATCACGTCTGTCAGCAACTGGGAAGTGTGTTCTCATTCAGCTAGGAAGATTCCAAGAATTCAAACTAGAAAGAGAAAACCAGACATCTTTAATTCCATTTAGCTCAGTGAGCAGGATTGATGAGAAAAAGATGTAACAATGCACAGTAATCATTCATTCAACAAATATTTGAGGGTATACTAAGATCTAGACACTCTGCTAGGTGTACAGATATAGCATGAGTAGGACTGAGTAGATCCCTGTCTTTATGCAACTTATATTTGAGTGTGTGTGTGTATGGGCAGGGTATAACCAATACACAAATAAAACAACGAAACAAGGCTAATGTGACAGAGCAACTGGGGCATATTTTAAATAAGATGGTCAGGAAAGGCCTCTGAGGAGGCGACATTGGAAAAGAGTCTTGATGGATGACAAGGAACCAGCTCTGTGAGTGTTCAGACAGAGGGGCAAGCATATGCAAAGTCCCTGAGATGAGAGAGGCCTTGATGAGTCCAAGACAGAAAGGAGACCAGTGTGTTCACAGCATAGTGAGCAACGGGATGAGGAGCTAAGATGACGCTGGAGAGGCAGACAGAAACCAGGTAATCCATCACAAGGAGCTGGCTATAAAGCAGGGAAATGAAATGGTCTGACATATTTTTCAAAGATGAGTCTGGCTCCTTGTGGAGAGCAGACTGTCGAATGAGAATAGAAGTGGAGAGATGAGTTGGGAAGCTACTGCAGTTGTCCAAGGGGGACAGCATGATGGCTCAGACAAGGAGGGCAGCAGAGAGACAGAGAAATGTCTAGATAGGAGGTAGAAATGACAGGACTTCCTTCCAAATTTAATGTTAAAGATGGGGAGAAAGGAGAAATAAAGAACTGGGTAGAAGGTGGTGCCACTTACCATAGTGTGAAAGACTAGGAATAGAGAGGGAGAGAAGGAAGGAGGAAGTGTGAAAGGGTGTGTGTGTGTATAGAATCTAACACTCCATTCTTAGACACAGAATGTGTGAGATACCCATTAGGAATCCAAGTGGAAACAGCAGGCAGCAGTTAAGTGGACACACCTGAAACTTGGGGAAGAGGTGTGGGAGATTAGCATATATACAATATTTAAATCCCTTGCATTTAGAGAAAACAAGACTCTGAGGCTCCCTAGCATTGATAGATTGTGAAGAGAAAGAAGGGACTAGAGATCAGGACTGAACGCTGTGGCAGTCCAACAGAGAGCGCCCAGATAGAGAACTGGTTAAAAAGACAAAGGAGTGGCTACTGAGGCAGAAAGAAAACCCAGCAGAGGTGTGTTGCAGAAGCCAAGAGAGCAAAATGGTTAACTACAGAGGGTGCTGAGAGGTCAAGCAAGATGACACAGAAATCCTTGGTGACCCTGGAGAGAACATTTTCAGTGGTCGGGATAAAGAAGAGTAGAGCAAATTGCAGAATAAACAAGAGAAGAGGGAGCAGAGACAGGTCAATAACATTTTGCTCTGAGGGGAAGCAAAAAAATGGGACAGAAGTGAGAGAAGAATGTGGAATGAAGCCAAGTGGTTTGTTTTTAAAGATGGGAAAAATCAGGAGTATTTGACCGCTGGTGGGAATGATCCAGTACAAGAGAAAGAGACTGATGATAGAGGAGAAGGGAATAACCCAAAGAATGAGGTCCTTGGGAAGGTAAGAAGAGATGGGATCCAGAGCCTAGGTGAAGTATTACATGCCTCCCATTTCAAAAGGGGGTGTGCTGGAGATTTTCAAGTATAGAAGAGAATTATTAGTCATGTTAGGCTTATCACTCACACACAGGAAATACGGAAGTCACAAGATGCAACAAAGCACACATTTCTATGAGATAATAAATAAAACAAGTTACAGAAGGAAAACAAGACTATAGGCCAAGACCATCAGGGAAGCGGTCGTACAGAAAGCAGGACTTATGCCACCGCTTCTCACGTCCTGGTAAACTCCGTCTCAAAATGTAAGCTCCTTTACACAGCGAGTCCCTTCTGTAATCTCATCTCCATGTGGCCAATTTCTCTCCCCTGACCCAATCACTTCCTGCTTTCAGCCTTGCTCCAGAGACCTCACCATCAAGAGGCAGGGTCAGCATCCTCCTTCCTTCTGAATCATTACCACTTGGTCACACTTGAAAAAGATCCTGTTCTTTTGCAGCTTAGGCTAGCAGGCCCCCCTTATCTACCTCCAGGCTACAAAGCGTTATTGAAGAAAATGAGAGGGCAGGTCTCTGTCTATATTCAGGTTATGGGCTGGTAACACTGCTCCTCTCCTCCCTCATTATAGACAGCCTGCGTCCTGTCCTATCTCATCTCATCCCTCACACTCCACCTACAAACTTACTTGCACTTGCAACCATTCCTTACTTCCTTCATCTGGTCAAAAGTTAACCCTCCACAAGCGCCCTGGGTCCCATTTCCTCCTTCCTCCTTTTGAACCTAGCTCCATCAATTGTTTTCTTTCTCGTACTTTGAACTTTTCCCTCCTTTTGGATCTTTCTAATCAGCATTTTAACACGTGAGTCTCTCCCAAATGATTTAAGAAATAAAAGCTCTACAACTTTCCTCAAATAGCTTTTTTAATTTTAAAATTCTAAACTATAAAAATTATAGTCTTTACAAAAAACTCAAATATAGGAGGAAATTAAGATTTCCCATCACACAAAGATAACCAATACCCATGTTAAACATCTTTCCAGAATTTTACTTTTGCAGCAATGTGTTGCCCTGATGTCCACTTGTCTGCCACCACCCTTGTCTTAAGTTCTCATCTCCTTATATCTTTGACTGCGGAGTCGGCCAGCAGGTTTTTCAAATAAAAATTTATTCTAAACAGAGTTTACAACTTGCCTTTTTCACTTAATGATAAATATATTGAAAGAGTTGTTTATATTTTCTGCTTTTCACTTTTTCTCCATCCTACTCTTGCCTGAGCCAACAGCAATCGGGCTTCTGCCCCACCACCCACTGACATCACTCTAGCCAAGGACACTACATTGCTTGTTTCCAGGGACATTTTCCAGGCACCATCTCACTTGACTTCTTGGCAGCAGTTTAATAACCTTTGATAACTCCTTCCTACTTGACACTCTCATTCCTTGTTTGTTTCATTTTTCCCTAAATTTTATTTATTTTGTTGTTGTAATACACACACCAACAGTTTCTACATGTACAATTTAATGACACTGATTACATTCTTCAAGTTGTGCAACCATTCTCACCCTCTTTTTGAGTTGTTCCTCCCTCATTAACACAAACCCACTGTCCCTTAAGGTTCCTATCTAATCTTTAAAGTTGCTGTTGTCAGTTTGATCCCATACAGACAGTTCTTAAAAGAGCATAATGCTCAAGGCAGATTTTTTAGTAGTTAAGCTATATTGTTCAGTTTTAAAATGACTTTAGGGGACATTTTTGGTTTAAGGTTTACAGATTATCTCAGGCAATAGTTTCAGAGGTTCATCCACCTTCCATGGCTCCAGACTAGAGTTCATGAGAATTTGAAATTCTGGTCTGCATTTTCCCCTTTGATCAGGATTCTCCTATGGAATCTTTGACCAAAATGTTCAGTAATGGTAACTGGGCACAATCTAGTTTTTCTGGTCTCATGGCAAAAGAGGCAGATGTTCATGGAGGCAATAAACTACACATTCCATATCCTCCTCCTATTCTAGACTCTGCTTCTTCTTCTATTGCTCCAGAAACCAATTGTTGTGCCTTGGATGGCCGCTTGTAAGCTTTTAAGATGCCAGGCACTACGCAATGAACTAGAAGGTAGCTGAGAAGCACTAAAGGTGTTATTAGGCCAATTAATGGAATGTGCCATGAAACTATGACCCTAAACCTCCAAACCAAGACACCAAATCCCATGAGGTGTTTGGCTGTACATAAGCAGCTTCAGCAGCTGCTGTTTTTTTTTTTTTTTGGTTGTTGTAAATATATCACACAACTTTTGCCAATTCAACTTTTTGCAGGTATACAACTTATTGATAGCAATTACAATCATCGACTGTGCAACTCTACGCTTGTTTTTTGATTTTTGATTCCTACTTCCCTGGTCACCTCTTTGCTGACTTGTCTCTGGTCTCCTCTCCTCTGCCAATCTGTTATGTGTTGATGTCCCCTGGGGCTCTGTCTGAGGCCTGCTTCTCTTTTGTCCCATACACTCTCTCGGGGTGATTTCATTCTCTACCATGACTGATGGCCCAACCCACACCAATGCTGAGCTTCAGACCTGTATATCTAGCTACAGAATGGCCATCTCCACTTGAATTCCCATAGGTAAAACTGAGTACATCCAAAATGCAAACCCATCTTCTTCAATCCCCAAATGGCTCCACTTCCTGTGTCTTCCAGTGACACTGTCTACTAGAATACTGAGTGTTATCTTGGATTCCTCCCTTTCTCTCATCTTCCCATTCCAGTCAGTCAAGACCTAACAATTCCACATTCTAAATCCCTCTTAAATTCATCTACTTCTCTCCATCTCCACTCCACTGCCTGTATCCAAGCCACCATCATTTCTCACTCAGGTTACCGCAGAAGCTTCCTGACAAGCCTACTGGCCTCTAATCTGCACATGCATGTGCACGCATACACACCATTCTCTAAACAGGAGTCCAAGGGAGTCTTCTATATCGAAAATCTTATTTCAATGCCCTCTTAAAACCCTTCAATGACTTTCTGATGCTCTCAGGAAAAAGCCCAAACTCCTTATTAAGAAGTGCAAGGTCCTTCACAGTCTGGCTCATTTCTGATCTCTGGTCTCATTTCTCTTCTCTCCTCACCTCTCACACTCTAGTTAAGCCAGACTGAACTAGCTGCAATTCCCCAGGCATGTCGGAAACGGACCCTTTTTCACCTCCAGGATTTAGGTATATTATTCTCTGTAACTGCCAGTTCCTGCCACTCCTCCCCCCAAGTAAGAGTAATTCCCTCATGTCTCAGCCTATTTGGCATCTTATCCAACCACCTTCCCCAACACTTTATGAGGTGACTCTTCTATGCTCTCCTACAATACCCTGTACTTCTCCCAGCACAGAACTGACCACACTACCTAACGGTCTATTTACCAACGAGGGAGGCAACATAGCAACCCAGCTGGAAACATAGGCTTTGGAGACAGGCAGATTTGGGTTTGAAAATTGCCCCCACCTTCCATTAGCTATATGATCAAGCAAGTTACTCAATGTTTCAGGCTCCTCATCTGTAACATGGGCTAGAAATACCTACTTCATATGGTTGCTGTAAAGACTAAATGCAGGAAAAACATGGTAATTGGCACCTAAGAAGCACTCAATAAGCAGTAGTTATTATTCCCCTAATATAATGGAACTCTCTGAGAGCAGGCACTCATTATAACATGTTCACGATTTTCCTAGCATCCAGTGTAGGCACCTAGGAAATATCTGCTGGTGAATTAATGAGAACAGGAGATGGGAAAAAAATCAGTGATGACTCTGGCTACGTCCCCAGATTTGATGGGATAGTTGAATACCTGAATTTAAAAAAAAAAAAAAAAAAACTAGTATTTTTACAGGTAGTTACAATGTGCCAAACACTGCTTTATGTATATAACCGATCTAAGCCTCACAACTTCATGAAGTTGATACCATCATTTCTGTTTTACAGATGAGGAAAATGAGGCACAGAGAAGTGGAGTGACTTGCCCAAGATCCTACAATACTAGTAAGTCGCAGAGCCAGGATTCAAACCCTGCAGCACGGCACTAGAGTCTGCCATTTAACATTACTCCATGCTACCTTTCAAATAAAGCCACATGAGTAAAGAAAGAGCAGCTGCGAGGACAGAACCATAAGCATATCACCAGTAGGAGAAAGGGAATTGTAAAGGGGGCAGAAAAAACCAGGGCTTCCGACTAGTTCTTCCGGGTTCAACCATGGTGGAGAAAGTGACACCGGAACAGACCTGAATTTTTTAAATTTGGATGAACCAGAATCATAACCAGAACAGGAAAAACTACAGGTTGAAGCCCTGCTAGAAACTTAATCTCCCTCTTAGAAAACAAGGGCAGCATACACATTGTACAGCAACCAAATCTCTTGCCCATGGGATTTTATCCATTTGTGCAGAGCTGGAAACAGTGGTGCCCTGCTCAAACACGGTAGCGGAGTGGGCCGCTCTGAATGTTGTCACTGTTCTCAGTCCTGGCAATAATCCAATCTCACTCATCAGGCTCCTGAAAGGGCTCACTACGCCTCTACCGAGTCTCCCATTCCAGGGCTTCCATCCATAATTTTTCCCATTATGGTTATGGTTCTGGATCACCTAAATTTAAAAAGTTCGGGTCTGTTTCAGTTTTGCTTCATTGGCCATAACTGCCACTAGAAGCCCTGGAAGAAACAGGGTAATAGGTATGTTTCCAGGGGGAATAATAAACAATGTTAAAAGCCCAAGATGATAAGGACTAAGCAAAGGATTTTGACCTTGCGCTTATCTCGACCTTCAAAGAGTCAGTGAATTGGTGAGGTTGGAAGAAAAGAAGGATTTAAAGCGGATGTAAACAACAATAAAGAAAGGAAAAGCACCAGTCTATTCAAGTACTTTTGGCAGCAAAATCAAAGCCAAACTGGATAACAAAGGAGGTAGAAACTGAAAATGTCAAGCAAAGAAATAAAGCACATTACTTGGTTTAAAATACATGATATTTCAAAAAAAAGAAGTTCTAAAAAGAATTGTATTATTCTCTCTACGAAGAATAACTTCTGCTAAGCAATCTTAAGACTGGGGCTGGTTCTGCTCAAATTTGCTTAAATCAACAAGAGCAGGGTAACAACTCTTAACTGCCTCCCAGTTATTCTGCTGTATGGTCACAGCATTGTGTTCAAATGGGCTGCTGGTCACAAGAAAGACTGAGTATAGATAGATTCACACAACATTTCCCACACTTGCTTCAGCATAAGAACCACCTGGGGCCCTTGTTTTTAAAAAACACACACACAAACGAACAAACCAAACAAATTCCCAAGCTCCACCTCTGCGGACTCTGATTTCGCTGGTCTAGTGTGTTGTATTTTTTAACAAGTGCACCATGTGATCAGGCAAGTTTAAGAAACTGGTACAAATTCCCACCATCGGGAAAGTGTACACTTCGGCCCGGCACCCTACTCCCCTTCCTCGCCCCCACCCCCCATCACCAACCCGCGCATCCTGCTTACGTGCATGGGCGAAACGGACTTGTAGACTCCTGATTCAAATTTTAGTATCATACAAGGGGGTCAAACATTAAGAAAACTCATTGCCCTGGCCTAGACTCTTCAAGGCAACTTCTGCCGAAGTCTGCAGCAGTCTTACTAGTGGACAGCTGTGAAAAAAACGCGGGAAAAAAAATTCCACCTGCAGAGGAGGATGACCTGGCTAGATCAAGCGTGAGTTGGCAGGGCGCTGGAGGTGTGTGCAGGCTCGAGGAGGAGCCCGAAGCGAGGTCAGCCCGGTCGCCCTGGGAATGCAGGCTGCGCTCTGGGCGCCTGGAAGAGTAGGCTCGCAGGCCCAGGGACAGCCGGGCACGGGTCCCCGAGACCCGGACAACACAGCCATAGAGAGTGCCCCCAAGCCTGAAGCAAACAGGGCGGAACCGTCTCGACCCGGGCGGGCCGACTCCTGGCGCCTGTATGCGCCTTCCCGAAACTACTCGGCCGAACCAAAGTAAGGCGGGTGGCTGCCGGGAGCACCCCTGGGGTCCTGGGGCGTTAAGGCCCGCGCGAACGGGAGGCTAGAGCGGCCCTGCAGCTGTCTCCTTACCTCACTGCCGTCCCCGCCAAGGGCTCCGCGCTCAGCAACACCCCGGCGGAGGAGAGGCAGCAACAACAACGGTTCCTGGAGGTCGGAAGTCGAGGGGACAAGGACGGGAACGGGGGGCGGGGCAGAGGAAATAAAAAGTTCCGGGAAAGAGGGAGTCCCCGACCTTCCGCGCTTTACGGCCCCCCAGCAAGGCTACGGCCAGCGCGTGACCGCAATCGTGGGCGAGCGCGGCGTTACGTTTCCGCGGCGACACGCCCCCGGCATGTGGACTCGTTTGGGTCTCGCGAGGCACCACCCCGAGGCCTTTTTTGTCCCCCACCAAGATGGAGGCGAGCTGGAGGCCCTGTTTCTCAAAGCCGTTTTATAGAACTCGGGCCTCGGACCAGCGTTGATTTCTGCAAATGGACGTCGTAGGTGGGTGGCAGGCCCTGCTGGAGCGTTGGGAACATGGGGTTCTCTTTACCTTCAAGGCTCGTTGCTTGGCCCTTCCCCCAATTGAGTCCGCAGCCCATAGTCGCATTCTAGTCCAGGACGTAATCAAAGGCCTCTAGGACCGGCAGTTGTGTTGTTCTTGGAAGTCGTTCTGGGCCTTCCTGGGCGAGGCTGTAGCAAGGGGATCGGAAATCCGGTCTGCAGGCCTGGCTCGACCTCGGAGGCAAGAATAACGGATATCGGTTCCCGGCCCGATTTTACTTCTCTGCTAGGAAGGATGCGAGCGGCTCCTGCACCTTCCCAGCTTTTCTTGGCCCAGAGGAAGAGAAGTCGTTCTCTCAAGCCTCTGAGAAGTCTTCCGCCCACCCCTCCCTATTACATCACCCTGATAGAACTCATCAGTATCTGAAGTCTGTAGATGATCTAAGTGTTCGTTGCGAGCCTTCAGACGACAGAATCTTACTCTTATTCACAGCTGTGTTCTCAGCCCTTAGAACAGTGCCTCATCCTGTAAATATTTCTTGAATGGACCGCCGCTACTGCATTTGGGACTGCTCTCTCCAGTCTCGTTCTTTGGGTTCAGGCCCATCTCACCACACAAGCCTACCAGCTAATCTTGTGTTTTATCGATGGCTGCCTGTGGCTAGGCACTGGGCTGAATGATGGTCTCCATCAGTACAAAAGAAAGGGGGCTTCTGCTCTCAGGAAGTGGTGATAAAGTGGCAGGGATCCCTGTGTCAGCATGCCAGCCCAAAGCCTGCATAGGGTATACCCCACTCACAAGATGGCCCAGGAGAGGTCTGGCTACCGGAGGATAAAAGTCTGCTTCTTGCTGTTCTGATACATAAAAGTTCAAGGCATCCTAGGGTCCTGTGTTAGATACTTTAATATTCTAGCTAAGGGCCTAAAGTTTGGGGTCACCTCTCCCCCCCGCCCCATCCCCACCCCATAAAAAAAAGACTGGTCTAACAGATCTGAAGCATAACCTTGAGGAAGCTTTTCCTGATGCCCAGATGTGGCAATTTAGGGAGAAAAACTTCCTGTTTTCTAAATAAGTGATCTGGTCCCCATACTCTTCTTAGTAAAGATTAAGATTGTCCATTTGACCTCACCCAAGATGTACATTCTCTTCTGCTAGCCAGGCTGTGGTTTCCTCTTCCAGGCAGGCTTCTGGCATCTTCAGCTGCAGCTGCCTAGCCAATCAGGAGCTAAGAGGAGCAAGAGCCCCTTGGGGTGCAGCCCCAGCCTCCTGCAACCTCCAGCCCCAGAGCACTGGCTGAGCCGGAGACAGGATCCAGAGGCTCTACAGGGTGAGGTGCCCCCACAGAGGAGGAGCCCTGATTCAAAGGAGCCAGCCTTGGACAGCTGTGGTCCCCTGCCTGATCATCGAACCTAATGAAGGTCAGGCCTCAGGGCTGTTGACTCGGGTAGGACCTGCTTAATGTTTTTCTCATAGCTTAGCTATTGACTTTTGGACTAATTTTTAGACTTTAACTTTTATTTTTATCAAAGAAGTATAGGCACTAGTTTTAAGTCAAGTAATACTACAAAGTTTATAATAAACAGTAGTTCCCTGTGTGATTCTCAGTCTTCAGAGCTAATCACTCTTACAGCTGTTTTGTTTGGTAATTAACTCATTCTTTAATTTATACTTATACTGCTACTTGGTTTTTAAGTTTCAAATATTCTCTACTGACTTGGCAGATGGTTTGCCTTCATCCCACAGACACAACATCCCCCTCGCCCCCCACGGCCACCCACACTTTCACTTGGTTTTTTCTCCTTTTTTGGGTTAAGTCAATATTTATTGTTTTAAACCTATGAATATTATTCTCAGCTAAGCCATGTCATGTACAATAATTACATTTCCCAACATTTTATTATAAAAAGTTTCAAACATACAGCAAAATTGAAAGAATTTTCTAATGAATACCCATATACCAAGCACCTAGATTCTACTATTAATCTTTTCCTTAGTTTAGTTAAAATATGATGATCTTCCTATATCCATTATATCCGTCTTATTTTTTGATGCATTTCAGAGTAAATTGCAAGCATCAGTATACTTCCCCCAAATACTGTTTTTGAAATAGTTTTGGTATCAGGATAATGTTGTATTAATAAAATGAGTTGAGAAATGTTTCCTCCTCTTCTGATTTTTGAAGTTTTATGTAGAATTGGTATCATTTCTTCTTTAAATGTTTCTTAAAATTTGCTAGTGAAGCCATCTGGGCCTGGAGTTTTTTGTTTTCTTTTGGATTTTACAGAAAGGTTTTTAACTACATTTCTTTTTCTTTAATAGCTATAAGGCTGTTCACATTATCTATTTCTTGAGGATTGAGCTTTGTTGTATCTTTCGAGGAATTGGTCTGTTTCATCAAAATCATTGAATTTGTAGCATTAAGTTGTTCATAATATGCTCTTATTGTCTTTTTAATGTCTCTATGATCTGTGGTGATAACCCTTCCTTTTTTTCCTGATGTTGATGATTTGTGTTTTGTCTTTTTTTTGGTTGATCGGTGTAGCTAGGGCTTTTCCAGGTTTGTTGATCTTTTCAAAGAATCAGCTTTTGGCCCGAGAATATAATTGTTATTTGTGGGAGGATTGGTTTGTTAGTAGCTTTCCCCACATGTAATGGAACTAGACATTCCACTGCTCAAATACTTCAGCTTTCCTATCATTAACTTGAGTTCAGTATTTGTTTATAGTTTTTTTTTTTTTTGTAAAGTTTACTTATTATGAAAAGCACAGATCTTCACTACATCATTTCCATTTTTATACAAAAATTTTTCGCAACACTTCTCTTAAAATTAGCATGTTTAAAAATGAAAACTTTTTTTCTCTCCTTCCCCTGGGGGCTTGGTTTTAAGCTCTCTAACTTTAAGCCACTCCAGTTCTGTCTGCTGATTGATCAGTTATAACAGCACTATTCTGCTGTGGGTTTCCTTTTTCACACCTGACATCGGTCACTTCTCAGAATATTATTCTCCTTCCAAAGTATAATTTAATCCATTTCACTGTTGCTTTTGTGAACACCTTAGGACACTGACATATGCTGATGTTCTGTAATTGAGTAAAATTTGTTTTGCCTCTGCTTTGAAGATGCCTGCTCCCACCAGATGATCTGATGCCCCATATTGAGAAGCTCCTAACTCAGAGCTGTGGAGTCCCTGGGTGGTACAAATGGTCAATACACTTTACTGATTAATGCACTTTACCATTAACTGAAAGGTTGGAGGTTTGAGTCCACCCAGCAGTGCCTTGGAAGAAAGGCTTGGCATCTATTTCCGAAAAATCAGCCATTGAAAACCCTGTGGAGCACAGTTCTACTTTGACACACATGATGTCTCTGTGAGTTGAAGTTGACTTGATGGCAACTGTTTTTTTTTTAATCTCAGAGCTTTCGAGAAATTGTTTCTTTGTTTCCTGTGTCTCTTACCATGCGTTGCTAAGTGACTAGACCTAACCTTTTCACAAAGGCAGAAATACAGCTGTAATGCTCTCCTTTCCCTCTACCACCTCATTACTACACAGCAGATCCTTGAGTTGACTCTTCAAACTCGCTAAATCCCATGTCATTCTGTCCATTGGTCAGTTTATGCCTGGTGACTTGTTCTTCAGTTAGGAGACTTGATATATGTGTGTGTTTTCTTTCTTATAAGAGGCAACTGTAAGTGAGTGAAAAAAAATTCTAACTGAATAAAAGAAAACTGACTACTTTCTAGGAAGCCGCTGATAAGAGAGCTCCAAACTGGCAGATATTTTGGCAACCTGTAAGGAGCGACTAGGAGACAGTTACTGTTGGAGGCTCTTTAAAATTCAAACAAAGCTGGGATTCATCTACAATTTGTTTTTACAGTTTCACTTTTTCTCCATGACAGAGTGAAAGCAACAGAAAACTCTCTACAATTAGCTTGAGGAGCGTTCTCTTTGCTTCTTGGAAAGAATGAATTCATAAGCTTGTGCCTAGAGAATGCCACACCATGTCAGGCTTCCTGGGGAAGCAGTTTGCTTTCGCTCTGACTGGGACTCACCACTTTCCCTTATAAGAACAGTGATTGAGTTGGTGGCCTCTGTTAAGTAACAGAAATGCTATAAACATGTTTTAAAAATTAAGTGCCAGAAACTTGTATGTGAATGTTCATAGCAGCATTATTCATAATAGCCCCAAATGGAAATAACTCAAATGCCCTTTAACTGATGAATGAATAAATAAAATGTAGTATATGCACGTTGTTGTTGTTAAGTGCCATTGAGTTGGTTCCGACCTATAGTGACCCTATGTACAACAGAACGAAACACTGCCCGGTCCTGCACCATCCTCACTATCATTGTTATGTTTGAGCCCATCGTTGTAGCCACTGTGCCAGTCCGTCTTGTTGAGGGTCTTCCTGTTTTTCGCTGACCGTCTACTTTACTAAGCATGATGTCCTTCTTCAGGAACTAATCCGTCCTGATTACAAGTCCAAAGTACGTGAGATGAAGTCTCATCATCCTCGCTTCCAAGGAACACACTCTGGCTTTATTTCTTCCAAGACAGATTTGTTTGTTCTTCTAGCAGTCCCTGGTATATGCAGTATTCTTCACCAACACCATAATTCAGAGGCATCAATTCTTCAGTCTTCCTTATTCATTGTCCAGCTTTCTTACGCATATGAGGTGATTGAAAATACCATGGCTTAGGTCAGGTGCACCTTAGTCCTCAAAGTGACATCTTTGCTTTTGAACACTTTAAAGAGGTCTTCTTTTGCAGTAGATTTGTCTGGTGCAATATGTGTTTTGATTTCTTGACTGCTGTTTCCATGGACGTTGATCGTGGATCCAAGTAAAATGAAATCCTTGACAACTTCAATCTTTCCTCCATTTATCATGTTGCTTATTGGACCACTTGTGAGGATTTTTGTTTTCTTTATGTTGAGATGTAATTTATACTGAAGGCTGTAGTCTTTGATCTTCATCAGTAAGTGCTTCAAGTCCTCTTTGCTTTTAGCGAGCAAGGTTGTGTCATCTGTATAACACAGGTTGTTAATGAGTTTTCCTCCAATCCTTATGCCGTGTCTTCTTCATGTAGTTCAGCTTCTTGGATTATTTGTTCAGGATACAGATTGAATAAGTATGGTGAAAGGATACAACCCTGACACACACCTTTTCTGATTTTAAACTACTCAGTATCCCTTTGTTCTGTTCAAACAACTGCCTCTTGGTCTATGTACAGGTTCCTCGTGAGCACAATTAAGTGTTCTGGAATTCTCATTCCTAACAGTGCTATGCACAATTTGTTATGATCCACACAGTCGAATGCCTTTGCATAGTCAATAAAATATAGGTAAACATCTTTCTGGTATTCTCTGCTTTCAGCCAAGATTCATCTGACATCAGCAATGATATCCCTTGTTCCACATCCTCTTCTGAATCTGGCTTGAGTGTTTGCCAGTTCCCTGTTGATGTACTGCTGCAACCGTTTTTGAGTTACCTTCAGCAAAATTTTACTTGCGTGTGATACTAATGATATTGTTTGATAATTTCCGCAGACCATGGAATATTATTTGGCAATTAAAAGGAATAAAGTTCTGACACATGCTACCACATGGACAAACCTTGAAAACTTCATGATAAGTCAAAGAAGCCAGTCACGAAAGACCACATATTGTATGATTCCACTTACATGAAATGTCCAGAATAGGCAAATCTGGAGACAAAACGTGGATTAGTGGTTGCCAGGGGCTACGGAGGGTGGGTGGTTGGGAAGAAATGGGAGTGACTGTTAATGGGTACAGGGTTTCTTTTCGGGATGATGAAGATGTTCTAAAATTGATATGGTGATGGTTGCACAACTCTTTTAACATACTGAGTACTATTGGATTGTACACTTTAAGTGGATGAATTGTATGTAAATCATATCTCAATAAAGCTGTTAAAATGATTAGGTATCAGTCTCTGATGCCACATGGCAGGTGAATTGTGTTCTGTAGGCATCAGTCACCATCTTTTTAAAATTTTTACTTATCTTTTTTGTATTGTTTTATTTTGTCTTATTGTTGCAAAAAGAGGTGCCATCTTTATGGCAAGTGCCTGGGGTCTGTCTGCGATCTTCCTTACCATGGACTCAGTGGGAGTAGGAGGGCTTTGTTATGGGATAATCTTTGGTTCCCTGCTCTGTCTTTGCTCGAACCTCTGCGCTTGAGCAGGGACATTCATAGGCACTAGAGGCAGTGTTTTTGCTGTTGTTTTCTAATTTCTTGCAAGGGAGTGAGCGCTCGGTGAGATCTTCAGGGGAACCTGGAGAGCCTGTGCTACTGATGACTTGAGGTGTGTCCTTCGGATAGGCCACCTCCCCTGACCCTCAGCTTTGTCCAGGGTGTGGGGAGACCCCATAGAGCAAATGCGGGAGGAATAGGGTGACCAGGGATACCTAGCTGGAAGATTTCCAGAGGAGACAGCCCCATCCTCAGAAGTCTTAGGAGGGTTGCCCATGGGCCGGCTTCTCAGTGGGAAGCTGATCTCGAGAAGCCCTTCACATCAGCCCAACAACCAAAGCGTTGCTTAATCAGGAACAAGACAGTGAGCGCAGGGAAAGGCCCTGGAGTCCAGTATATCTAAGTTCTAATCCCCCCTCTGGCTCTTGCCAGCTGTTTGATCCTGAACAACTTGTTCTACTCCTTGGTACTCAGCTTCCTCATCTATAAAATTGGATAAGAAATATTTACCTGGCAAAAATAAAAGTACTGCATATTTAAAATTTTTATTAATAATTTGGATTTATTAAATTAAAATTTATTAAATTTGAATTTAACTTAAGATTCAAAAATTCAAATTCAAGATCCAGAAATTATATGAAAAATCATCCTCCCACCCTGTTACTCTTCTCTGAGTATCGATTACCAGCTACATCACAGGGTAAAGTGTATTAGTGGTAATAGTTAACTGTGTATTGGGGACTCACTTTGTGCCAGTATGGCACCTATAACATGACTGCATTTATCCCTGCTTGGTGGACAGTGTTACCCCTGTTCTGGGGACCAGGAAGCAGGCTCAGAGGAATGGAACATTTTGCCTGGCAATACACAACCTGTAAGGAGAGACGCCAAGATTTAACAACCCAGATGTTTCCTTGTTTGTAAATACCTTATAACAAGTAGATAGTCACTCCTTTCCACCCCTCTGTACACCTGATGCCTTTTCATCTAGAGCTCCGCAGATGAGCTCCCTAGGGGGAATGAGGAGGGTAGTTTATATCGATACTGGTATCAGTCGACACTGTAGTGAAAATAACAGTAACAGGTGCCAGATTAAGTCTTCGAAGTTCTTTACATCTCATTTAAGCCTCATAACCACCCTCTGAAGTAGGTTCTACTATTCCCATTTCACACATGATAAAACTGAGGCTCAGAGAGGTTAAAGAACAGGGCCAAATTCTTAGTTTAGAAAATAAGTAGTAGAGACAGGATTCAAAGCCAGGTCCAACGGCAGAGCCTAAGTTCTGAAACACTATTCGGCTCCCCTGTGGAAGTGGGTAAGAGAAGGCAAGAGGGTTAGAGGCCGGCAAGAGAAGCTAATAGACTGGGACAATGTGATGGGACTGAGGAAGGGAGGTTACCCTGAGACCTGAGAGGCTAAAAAGTGACAGCTAGGAGCAGGGTTCTGGGGCTACAAGTGCAGAAATGAAAAAGATGATCTCTGTCTTCAAGGAGCTGAGGGTTTATTGAGAGGACAAATACAGACTACACATGGGTTAACAGAACTTTTTGTTGTTCGTTGCTGCCGAGTCATCTCTGACTCCTGGCAACCCCGCGTACAACAGAACAAAAGGTGCCCAGTCCTGTGCCATCCCAACCACCTGTATGTTTGATTCCATTGTTGCAGCTATTGTGTAGTGCCTTCCAACCTAGGGGGCTCATCTTCCAGCACTATATCAGATAATATTCGGTTGCAATCCATAGGGTTTTCATTGGCTAATTTTCAGAAGTTGATCTCCAGAACTCTCTTCCTAGGCTGTCTCAGTTTTGAAGCTCCGCTGAAACCTGTCTACCATGGGTGACTGCTGGTATTAGAAATACTGGTGATGTAGCTTCACAACAACATGCAAGCCACTATAGTACGACAAACTGACAGATGGGTGATGGTAACAGAACTACACAGTAGTAATAATAGTATCATAGCCATCACAGACTTACTGTTATCTATTGCTGTGTTTTAAATACAGTGGTTTAAAACAACAATATTTTGCTCACAATTCTTTAGTTTGTACAGGGCTTGGTGCTCCGTGTGACATCAGCTGGGGTGGCTTGAAGGCTGGGGGCTGGGACCACCTGAAGGCTTGCTCACTTACCTGTCAGTCAGCTGATGCTGACATGTGGGCCTCCCCTGTGGCTGCTTGGCTTTCTCAAAGCAGGTGACTGGGTTATAAAAGTTAGCATCGTAAGTGAACAAGGAGGAAGTGCATGTGATTGTGACCTAGCTGTGGAAATCACAGGTGGAGGCAGTCACAAAGAGCTGCCCAGGTTTAAGGGGAAGGATGTAGACCCCACACTTGATGGCAGGAGTGGCAACGTTACATTGAAAGAAGAGCATGTGGCATCTGAAATAGGATTTGTATCCAGAATATATAAAGAACTCTCAGGATGCCCTTTATCACCACTCTTATTCAACATTGTGCTGGAGGTCCTAGTCAGAGCGGTTAGGCAAGAAAAAGAAAGAAAGGGCATCCAAACTGGTAAGGAAGAGGTAAAAGTATCCCTGTTTGCAGACGATGTGATCTTATACACAGCAAACCCCAAAGAATCCAAAAGAAAACTACTAGAACTAATAGAAGGTTTCGGCAAAGTATCAGGATACAAGATAAACATACAAAAATCAGTTGGATTCCTCTACACCAACAAAGAGAACTTAGAAGAGGAAATCACCAAATCAATACCACTTACAGTAGCCCCCAAGAAGATAAAATACTTAGGAATAAATCTAACTAGAGACATAAAAGACCTATACAGTGCAAACTACAAGACACTACAACAAGAAACCAAAAGAGACCTGCATAAGCGGAAAAACATACCTTGCTCATGGATAGGAAGACTCGACATTGTGAAAATGTCGGTTCTACCCAAAGCTATTGACACATACAATGCAATCCTGATACAAATTCCAATGACATTTTTTAATGAGATGGAGAAACAAATCACCAACTTCATATGGAAAGGGAAGAGGCCTCAGGTAAGTAAAGGATTACTGAAGAACAACAAAGTGGGAGGCCTCACGCTACCTGATTTTAGAACCTATTATACCACCATGGTAGTCAAAACAACCTGGTACTGGTAAAACAACAGATACGTAGAGCAATGGAACAGAATTGAGAATCCACCTATGAGCAGCTGATATCTGACAAAGGCCCAAAGTCTGTTAAATGGGGAAAAGACAGTCTCTTTAACAAATGGTGCTGGCATAACTGGATATCCATCCATAAAAAACTGAAACAAGACCCATACCTCACACCGTGTACAAAAACTAACTCAAAATGGATCAAAGACCTAAATATAAAATCTAAAACGATAAAGATCATGGAAGAAAACAATAAGGACAACACTGGGAGCCCTAATACATGGCATAAACGGAATACAAAACATAACTTACAGTGCACAAACACCAGAAGAGAAACTAGGTAACTGGGAGCTCCTAAAAATCAAACACCTAATGCTCATCAAGAAACTTCACCAAAAGAGTAAAAAGATAACCTACAGACTGGGAGAAAAATTTTGGTTATGACAGATCCAGTAAGGGTCTAATCTCTAAAATCTACAAGATACTGCAACACGTCAACAACAAAAAGACAAATAACCCAATTAAAAAATGGGCAAAGAATATGAACAGGCACTTCACCAAAGAAGACATTCAGGCGGCTAACAGGTACGTGAGAAAATGCTCACGATCATTAGCCATTAGAGAAATGCAAATCAAAACTACAATGAGGTACCATCGCACCCCAACAACACTAGCATTAATCCAAAAAACACAAAATAATAAATGTTGGATAGGTTGTGGAGAGACTGGAACACTTACACACTGTTGGTGGGAATGTAAAATGGTGCAACCACTTTGGAAATCGATTTGGTGCTTCCTTAAAAGCTAGAAATAGAAGTACCATAGGATCCAGCAATCCCACTCCTTGGAATATATCCTAGAGAAATAAGAGCTGTCACACAAATAGATATATGCACACCCGTGTTCATTGCAGCACTGTTCGCAATAGCAAAAAGATGGAAACAACCTACGTGCCCATCAACGGACGAATGGATAAACAAATTATGGTATATTCACACAATGAAATACTTCGCAATGATAAAGAAAAATGATGAATCCACAAAACATCTCACAACATGGATAAATCTCACTAACTAGATAGTAGACAAGAATCATCTTAGGTGAAGGGAAGGACAACACACAATACGGGGGAAGTCAGCACAACTGGACTAAACCAAAAGCTAAAAAGTTTCCTGAACATAACCACTTTGAGGGACAGAGTAGCAGGGGCAGGGTCTGGGGACCATGGTTTCGGGGGACATCTAGGTCAATTGGCATAACAGTTTATTAAGAAAATG